TTTTCAGTTTATCTAGGGATGTTTCCATGAGTTACTGGCACTGTTTTAATGTAGCCCTTTCTCTGGAGTTATAAAAATGTTACTACTAATAATAAATAAAAACGCCAGAAACACAAAGCCTTCTCGTTTGTGCTTTTCATAAGGAGGACACACCACAACCGAGCTTGAATTGTTTCCAGTTCAAGAAATAGAGTGAATAAAGAATGAACTGTGTCAAATTAGAATTTAGTCTGAAAGCTGTTTATCATGTGTTTGATTTGCATTCTGAATGGCTGGTGAAATAATTAGTGTTTTTTGTCTTTGAAGAAAATAGTCTTTGAACTGTTAATCTGTTCAGAGGTTACTTAGTATGGCCATTTATTTAATCAGATAACTAAGATCATTCAGTTATTAATTTTCATGAGCTTTACTTGCTGTAGGTTGCAATTCTCCAAGATTCATTGCATTTTCTGCAGCTCTGAGTGCTGATAACTATGTTATTTCAAATTACTAGTTATTAACTAGTTATTTCAAAGTACCTGTGAACCTTTGCAGTCTAGCACATTGCGTACCTATTTGAGTACTGTTTGCAAAGGCATTCATATGTGAAGGTGGTTGTGGGTTTGGTCTGTGACATTCGAAGTAGGAGTTAGTGATGACTGAAGCACCCATAAAGCTGTAGCTGCGCACCCCTTCTGTGGAGAGGCTGAGGCCCACGATCTGTGTGCACCAGGAGAACGTCTCATCCTTCAGCGCCGGACGTGGCTGTGCGTGGAGCCACCTCGTACCTGTGCTCGCAAAGCTGGGCATCGTGCGAGGCGAAGGGGATGGTGGCAGCGAGAGGATGAGCCTGACGCCGCAGCCAGGCAAGCTGCTGAGTGCCACCTTCCCTTGGCTGGGAGGAGGCTCTCCGAGGCAGGCGTTTACACTTCTTTGCAGGCTGTTTTTCTGTAAAATAAGCAGTTCTGGGCATAGGGACTAGAATCACAGCAGACTAGAAAGTAGCTTTGGTTTTGTCTAGATCAGTTCAATTTCAAGCTCTGAATGTGCCACAGTCTTGCATGGTAATTCACTCTGTAAAGACAATTTGGGTGTCGTGTGTAAATAGCCAGTAGGTTCCTGGCTAGGATATTTTTGGTGTGAGACGCTGGCTCTTTTCTTATTGAAGTCACTTTGAATTTACTCTATCAATAGCAGGAGTGAAAGGAGACTATAAATGTAAATGTTTTAGGTAGCTGGTTAGTGTATTTCTTAGGTTACAGATATTTACTTCTTGCATAAACTCAGAAATCTGAGCAAACATTTTAGATCAAAACACTTATTGGGGAAATGAAATTCCTTTGGTGTTTTGGTTGCTTAAGTTCCACATTTGAGAGAATTACCTGGTAGTTCATGATAGTTAGGGTCATTTTGGACAGAACGTAGCAATATAGTTAGGATTAATGGAGGCAGTACCCGCACCCTTGACGCCAGGTATCGGGATGTGAGCGCCAGTGTCATACTGGTCAGTCGTCCTGTTTCACGCAAGCCTCAGTGCTGTAGCCCTGTGTTTATGGCCGCACTGTGCTGGCTCTGCGGGCACAGAAGCAGCCTGAAGCACTTACTACTAAAACTGAAAGCAAGCGAAAAATAAAGAACTAGTTCTTCTCGAAATTAGCCGCGCTTCTTGAAGAGCAAGTATGGCACTTATGGCAAAGCTGGGAATTGATTTTTAGATTTTGGGACCCCTGGTGAAATGTCTTTGTTGGCACAAGTTTTCTTCTGAGAAGTAAAGCACAGCCACTCCAACAAATTTTCTTGTAAACTATTTCTAGCCTTTAACAATCAGAGGACATTTGTTAAATGCTGCTGAAGACAAAAATTATTTTTTAGGTCTTCATAAAGCTTATGTTGGTTATCATATGCTACTTTTAGGTACCAAAGCAGTCTGATCCTCTCTGTCAAATGGATAATGCAAACCGTCAAGCTGAAAGCCCAGGTGGAAAGAAGCAAGTGTCTTACAGGACAGAAATTGTTGGCGGTGTTCCCATCATTACACCTACCCAGGTAATACCCTTAAAACAAGTGGGCTGGTACTCGGTAGAGGAAACTTTGTTGTTTGCCAGGTGAGAACAGGTTACGTATCACAAGGTAGCTGTCAGCTTCTCGCCTTGTTCAGAGGACTTATATTTTGACATGCACCTTTTATTGATGCTGTCTGGGGTTTTTTTAAGGGTTTTATTCCCTATATACAAGATCATAGATAATTATACAAGACTGTAAAGAATTACTTGAGTATTAGTTTTTTCCTCACAGATATCGGTTAGTATGTTGAAAATGTCTTTTTGTGTGTAGGAAATAAATTGTTGTTGTTAAAAAGACAGAACTTTGGCATTGTTAAGTGCCAGGAAAAGTGGGTGGAAAAGGAGGTGATTAAGTCAACTGATTCTATATACACTATGTTATTAGAGGTAGTAAGGATGACAGCAGATTAAACTATTGCAGAAAGGCCTTATGAAATCACAGGTGCGGACAAATAAGATAGCAAGTGAAATTCAGTGAAAATAAATGTTATGTAAGGGATTCTGGGAAAAACAATCCTAGTTTTTATGGAAAATACTGGATTGTGAAATAACCGTTTGCACTTGAGTGAGAGGTAAGAGTTACAGTCACACTATGAAAACATCATCTTAGTGTTCAGTAACAGTGGAGGTAAAACCCCACAAATACTAGGAGTTACTAGAAAAAGAATAAGGAACAAACCGAAAACATCCTTGTTGCTGCATAAATCCTGTCTTTGACCAGACGTTGATTACTGTGTCCAGTTTTGTCCTCATCTTAAAAACCAGAACTAGAAAGGTTCAGAGAAGGCTTTCAGGGATGATTGGTCTGTGTGGAGTGGACCATATGAGGAACAATTGAGTAGGCTCATACTCTTCTGTGTGCAAAAGAAACTACTAAAGGAGGGTGTAGGAGCTGTACAAAAATCTTGGTTAGCAGGAGTGGATGGTGTAAACTGTCTTTTCCAGTATGAGAGCTACGGGCTTTTAAACAAAGCTAATGGTGTAACCAGCTGGAACAAAGCAAAGGAGTTCTTCTTTCAGTGAGTGATAAAACATAAGGTACTCCTTGCCAAAGGATGGTATGGATGCAAGAAACTTTTCTGAGCTTGACAGATTAAAGGAGCAGAATCTACGCAGTGTTAAAGATAGAGACCTGTATTTGTTTCTGGCAGTTCCATGAGCTGAAAATAGTTACAGATGGTATTAATATCATGTAAATTACATGTATACTCCTGAGCTGCATCGAAAGTGTTGGTGAATTCTGATGTGTCTTATGGTCCCAGTAATAGCTTTTTCTTTGCTATAGCCACATCTACTGTCTTGCCTTTAAAGTCGTGTTACGAGTTTGCACTAAAGACATGAATATATCTTGGGTTTAGGTCTGTAACATTTCTTCATTGAGTGTGTGCCACTATTGTCTGAGAGTATTCATCACTTTCTTAGCGTTTCTTTAACGTTTTGAAATGGAGCTTGCAAGTACTCAACCTTGGAGAGTCTCTTTAGTTGTCTCTAGAAATCAGTTGATATATTTTATCCTTTCAAACAAATTGGAAATGGGATTTGTGAGCATGGGATGACACAATTATTTCCTGTTATAACTAGTATAGTTATTCTTTGACCTTAAGAAAAAAAATAAGAGAATATTCTGAACTTTCCTGCTTTTTTCTAGAAAGAAGAATTCAGTGAGTGCAGTGAAGGGGGTGACAGGAGTTATTTGAAACGGTCACAAAGTCACCTTCCTTATTTTGCTGCTAAGCATCCCCCAGACAATGCTATTATCAAAGCTGGCTACTGTGTAAAACAAGGAGCAGTGGTAAGTGTTTGACATTGGTGTTTCATTAATCAAGAGCAAAATTCCTGAGGTGGTAGTTGTACTTACACAGTAGATGATTAAAAAAAAAGACGTAATTACCAGTGACTTCAGCACTACTGACAATATTAGGGGTGGCTAAAGATAAAACATACCCTCCAGTAGCATGTGGTTTATGTCTGTGTTACTACTTTTCATTACTTTCTTCATTGTTGTGTTTGAGATGTTTTGGAGAAGAAAAGTTGTGTGCACAGAGACTTTCATATTATGGTTAGTGCATGCAACTGGGAATTCTTCTGTTCTACAGTGATGTAGAGATCCTTATTTCACTTACTGGAAGCATCTAAATTAAGACAGAAGTTGAATGTCTGCTTGCTTTTTAGATCACTAAAATGTTTAGAAAAAGCTAATTTTTCAGTTCAGAGGAAGAATTGTACTACTTGTCAGACTGATTAACACAAGTGGAACTAGAAACGTGATGCCTTCCTAAAAGAAGGAACAGATAGTTCAGATTAAGAAAGATACGTATACTTCCTGAGTTCTTGGACTCATTTTATCTTGGATTATGAAGCTTCTTCTTGTAACATGCCTTTTTTTAGCTAAAAATAAAGTAGAAGCCTTTAACATATTGTCTTATAACGTTTCTTATGGGGTATTTATGGTGTTGAGTTGCTATAGTTTCAGTGCAGATTGTTGAAAAACTCTTACAGTAGAAAACAGTAGCTTCCAGAATTTTTAATTTTTGCAGTTTTCAAAAAATTAATTGGGCAGTGTCTTGTAGAATTATTTTGGGGGCATTATATATATACACACATACACAACACATAAATATATGTAATACATAAAAATTATAAATATTACATATCAAAGAACCATAGAACAGTTTGGATTGGAAGGGACCTTTAGAGGCCATCCAGCCCAACCCCCCTGCAGTGAGCAGGGACATCTTCAGCTGGATCAGGTTGCTCAGAGCCCCACCCACCTGGCCTGGCATGTTCCTAGGGATGGGGCATCAACCATCTCTCTGGGCAGCCTGTGCCAGGGTTTCACCACCCTCGTCATAAAAAAGTTTCTTCCTTATATCCAGTCTAAATCTCCCCTCTTTTATTTTAAAGCCATCACCCTTATCCTGTTGCTACAGGCCCTAAAAAGTTTGTCCCCATCTTTGTTGTACTTGTAGGCATATTTGTATTTTGTATGTAAAATATATAAATATTTCTTTATTTTCCTTTTAACAGATGAGGAACTGGAAGAGAAGATACTTTCAGTTAGATGAAAACACAATAGGATATTTCAAGTCTGAACTGGTAAGTTTCCAAATGTGTGTTATTTTCCAGTGATGCAAGAAAATCTGAAGAAATATGCTTGTATTTGAAAAAATGTGCTGTGCTGATCCTGCAGCTCATAGCTGTGTACTGTAATAACTTTTCACGATCAAGTAGAACAAAAAATTAATAGGGTGGCTGTTAAAATTGGACTTCAGCCTTGTGTTTGGGAGCCTCTCTGTAGAGCACTGAAGAACAGTAATTAGATATATTCTAATATCACCTTGATATTTGTGTTAGTATCTAATGTCACTTTGTACTTGCATATAATTAATTATGTTTTTGAAACAGCTGATCATTGTGGAGACACAAAACTGTAATCTTGCAATTCTTAATTTCACATTAGGATTATAGGGTGTTTTATCATAAAAATGACGGGACCTTTCCCCACACACATGCTTCACCAGGGCAGCCAAGATGAGCAAAGAACTCTGCTGTCCAGAAGCAACACTTAGAGTTTGTTTCAGTTTCATGATCCTTCTTCCCCAGTCATCGCTCTTCAACCTTTTGACCAGTTTTGACCACATGTTAAGTGCCTTCAGGCTTCATTGAAAAGTGAAGTGGCTAGTACTGCAAACGGTCTGTTTTCCCCAAAAAGGAATCCCACGCTTACTAAAGATGAGAAAGTCTGTACATGAGGAATAAAGTCTGAGTTGTAGAGTATTATAAATCAAGGAAAACTGAGTTTACAGGCTGATTGTAAGATGCAAAATGTCAAGAAGCCAAATTCCGGCTGTTTTTGAAGAGAACTTCTGGTTTACTTTTAATGAGGGAGTACAACAGTAGCGGGAGTTTGATCTTGCATCATTGTCTTTGTTCAGCTGTCAGCATAGCACAATTCTGACACATTGCCTGCAATAAACCCTCTATTTTCATTTTATTTTAAAATGAGCGCAGATTGCTAACAAGTAAATTCTAAGTGAAGAATTGTGCTGTGAGAGAGCATTCTAGAAAGCTGGTAGAAATGCATACACTTCTAGTGTTTCATCGTGCTCCTTTCCAGTTTATTTGGAATGAGAAATATAAAGTCTTGTAGTGTCCTCTTCTTCAGGCCAATATCCCCTTGCTGCAGTTTGAGGAAGGTACTGGACCGACCAGCTGTCAGACAACAGGGAAGTAGATCCTGCTTCACAATTTTTACTGAGATCAAGGAGTTTTTTCCACTTTAGAGAGTCATCCCTCCTCTTTTCAAGAAAGTATGTACTGAATAGGTAGAGTACATAGTGTCCTTTTTTGGACTATAGTGGTTAATCTAAGAATTCCATGGTTAGGAAACGTAGTCATGATAATCATGTTGCAGGTAGTTTTTTGAAAACTTAGGATCTGCCTTGTGTGAAGCATACATGTTGGAGAGACATTTAAGCTGTACTGGAAAGAGCAAAACTTTCAAAGAGTGCAGCCCACCAAGAAGAAAACACCTGCAACAATTTAACCATATGTCCATCAGCCTTTTATCTAGCTCCTACAAACACGAACAGGGCATACTGCTCTCTCCTGAAGAGTCCAAGTGGTGAATGATATCTTTCAGCGATGTGTGGGATCTGTTACCCTGCTACCCCCTGTTCCTGATGAGAGTAACACAAAGATAGGAAAATTGTTCAGTAGCAATTGTTTGTCGTGCCATTGTGGTTGAGAAGGCTATGGCATGGCGGTCATATTCAGCTACTGTAGCATCAAACTCCTAATTCTGGAAAACTTCTTTTCGTTGGCCTTCAGTCCCCAGTGGCTGTGGTCTTCAGTCAAGTATGGCTCTTATCTGAAGTTAGTTTGTCTTGGCAGCCAGCCTGCTCAGTAGTACTTCAGATGATTTTTCACAGAATCACAGAATGGTAGGGGGTGGAAGGGACCTCTGTGGGGCATCTAGTCC